TGGTTGTAGATCGTTGTAGGCTCGTTGTAGGTGGTTGTAGATGGTTGTAGGTCGTTGTAGGTCGTTCCTTACTTTAGTACCTACGTTTTAGAATGGCGGACATGGACGAGCAGTGACTTTTGAGCGGCGGTGTGAAATCGTGTAGACTAGAGTGTATTACAACTGAGGTTGATAGTATTATAGCACAGTGCTTTATCTATCAAAGATACGGAGCGATGTATACATGAATAGATGCCAGTGGATAGTTTTGATATAAAATTATAAGTCAGCAGCTGAATTATATCAGCGAGCTTATTATTGTATTATTATATCGCGATATAACCCGCGGAAAGGAGAGACCGCTCTCAGTCTATACCAGCTAGCTTATTCTTGTATTATTATATCGCGATAGAGCAAGATTTACATGGCCCAATAAATAGTAAATAATAAAATAAGATTGAAATTTTGCTCCAGTGGTAACATGCCAGCCAAGCCGGCGAGAGCCAGCTAGTGAACTATAAATGTCTGTATATAAACTATCGAGTGTTTGTGGTGAAGTATAATATTTTTAATAGCAGAAATTTCTGTACTCGGTGACAGCGTAATCTGTAGTCAAGCAGTAATGTCAGTTCGTATTGTTTCCAAGACGTTTTATAAAATCAGTCATTCCAAGCTTTTATCAAACTATTGGTATTTCTCACTTTAATATGCAGTTATGGCAATTTCATTGATAAACTGTAAAATATTGTATTAGTGAGAAATATTTAGATGTCGGCCATAGTCCTGTTTGCATATCATGGGGCCTGTTTATATGGAAGCCGGGCTGGCCCGCTTAGCGAGACAGCCCGGTAAGCGAGATGAATTTCTCTTGTGTTTATAACTTTATATGAGAAAATTTCATCCCGCTTGCCGGGACAATTTTGTTACATTGACGTTGTTTTGACAGTTGTTAAAAATAGCTTGCGGCGATATCTTTGAACTTTCATCCCGGCAACCGGGCTAGCCCGTTTGCGAGTGTTTATATGGAGAAATTTCCATCCTGGTAAGCGAGATCTTGCCTCTTTCAAGCAAGATCTCGGCAACCGGGCCAGCCCGCTTGTCCATATAAACGCACGACAATTTTTACAAAATGCCTATAATAATAACTACACAGCGAGATCTCGCTTATCGGTCTGTCTCGCTAAGCGGGCCAGCCCGGCTTCTATATAAACAGGCCCTTACAGTAAAAGCTGTTCATTTTTGTTTCATTTCGATTTTCGAAGGCGGTTTATTTTGTTTTGTATTACACGTACAACGGAAAATGGGTAGAAAATTGAATTAAACTGACAAAGAAAAAAGATCTGGATTAAAGCCACCATTCAAGGAATTAAGCCATGGAAAATTATCCATGCGAAAACAACAAAATTTACTGTCGTGGCAAACATAGGTACGCAGTGCGTACAAAAATAGGTACGCAGTGCGTACATGTTGCATGCCATCTGAAACTTATGATGCGCTATAGCCTATAGCGCTTATAACCTTTGGTACAACTGGCGTGAAACTTAAAATATTGATTCAATAAGTTTAATATCAATATATTTATTGAAAATAGCTATTATGTCAAAATAAGAAAACTTAAGATTCTCACACGAATTAGCCTACGGTGTAGACCCCAGCAGAAACACGCGAATAGGCAATGTTTTTATAAGCGACCGTTAATAGTTAGTTGCAAGCGACGGTAATAATAACACTAACAAGGTCAAGGTGGGTTAAGGTTTTATCGAAAGCGATTGACTGTTAGATTTCCTTCACAAATTTATAACTAATAACGTTATTTCCTTAAGATTAAGCTTTATTGTAACTTTTTAAAGGAAAAATTACTGTAATAGATTGAAAATGATTATTATTTATCATTTTGACGTTTTGAGTCACAGAATAGAAATTTGAGTGATTGAAATGAGTTAATTTACACTATATCGAATGTCATGTTGAATGTCATGTTGAATCTTATGCGTACTTCACAATGGTTGCTATTTCATGTTATTTACAAAATGTGCTATTGTGCTGTAGTTTTGAAGTTTTGCACACAATATATAAAAGGACCTTTAGCAAGTAGGTGACGGCAACGCGACGACGACGGCCAAAACAAACTCGTTCAAATAAGTAACTTTAAGAACATGTTTGGTATTATCCGTTGTATGAAGTTATTGCAGTTTAAGAAGGTTAAGACAGAGGTTTATAGTTGAGGCTTCTACTAAGCCAATTTGCCGAGGACGACTTCTCGATGCTTGAAAGGCAGACGTTGTATACAAAACGTGAAAAGCTTTGGTTTGCTGTTGTAAACAGAGGAAGGACGACGTCTAAAACTCCCAAGGGACTTTAATTATGCATTTTCTTTCTACACTGTCATAAATTTTATTGTATTAATAGCCGCTTCGCCGTCCTGCTAGCTAAAGGTCCCTATAATCAGTGCGAGCACAATGGCTCCGTTTCAGTTTGAGTACATAAAAATCGACTATTTTGATAGCGTTCAATGGGCTTTGAGGCTTTCATGATATATAAAATATATATTAAATGCCTCATAATTGATAAATAATCAGTGCGAGCACAACGGCTGCAAAATCACAACAAATAACAAAATACAAGGTAAGTTAAAAACAGTAAAGCTTTACCTACCTCGGTTTATTTTCAGTAAGGCGCTCAATTATGTAAATTTTCGGCGAATAATCAGTATTTCTTTGCGTTTCCTCGACGAAAACCCGGCATGAATTTGCTCGTCGGAAAACCTCGGTATTTGCCGTACACTCGTACTTTACGAATCTACCACGTGATTTACGACCGGTACGCACACTGAACACGACGACACGAAATTTAGAGCTATATGAAAGTTGCATGCCATATATGGCATGCAACAAAAACAAAGCCAAACAACTTCCTTATAGATGCATCAATCCTATTTCTTACATTATGCGAATCAACATAAATCTTAATTATCATTTGTCATATCAACTTTGCACTATCCTTTTGATCTCTGAGTTTGAATTAGCTGTAGCCTATATGAATGTAAGATATCACGAGTTTCTCATGTTAAGTCTTAGTATAGGAACGGGAAATGATAATTCCTTGCGTGTTCGATCGTTTAAGAAAGACGCCACAGAATATACGGTAATAATCCATATATGATTTATAATTTTTGTTGCGGTATATATATATGAATATAAAATATCTTAGTATACTATAGGTTGTATGAAAGACGCAACAGAATATATGCAATAGGTAATATATTTATTGCGGGTTATTGACGAGAACGAAGAATCCATATATGATTTTCACAGTGGTATAATCATAAGACATCGCGAATTTGTTTAATTAGTCTTAGTATAGGTTGTATGAAAGACGCAACAGAATATTTAATAGATAATTACTTCGGCCAAACGGCATTATTCGATATATTGCAGCCAGCTGAGGCCTTCGGCTGCAATATATCGAATAACGCCGTTGGCCTCAGTAATTATCTATTACAATAGCATAGTTGCCCGGGTTTCTTTTGTTTCAACAGGTACCATTACTAACTAATCGCCCGCTTTGTATCCCTGACGACTACGCATTAGGCAAGTGCCTCACACACATAATCGTGCAAGGAACAGCAACAGTTAGCTCAGAGCCAGGCGGTGATAGCACTACGACCGCAATGCATTATTTTGGATATTTTCTTCAAGATGGCGGATTTCGAGCACGATGAAAGGTATGTTGGCGCTCTATTTTCTGCCACGTTTTAAAGTTTAAACTTTTTGTTTTTTCTTAAAAAGGAAGTTGCATGTAATATTGTTATGCTGTGTTACTTTTCAAATCGATAATTTTTGGAATTCGATAAAAAATATCATTTGATTGTAAGCTCGTGTATTTTCCCCAAATACACTGGTCTGTTTACTTTTTCATGTCACAGGTTAACCGTTCACACATCACATTTAAAATTGCAATTGGCATAATCTATGATCATTATTTGTGACCATATTTAATGGCGCCCCTCAATATTGTATCTTTTTTGGGCTTTTAAATCATGATATTTCCTTTGCTAATTTCAGGTCTTCTTGTCCAGAGTTCATGTTCTCCCGCTATTTTGGGGAAGCGTTCGTGCATCCCAGAGGGGAATACGCCAGGCAAACAAAAAACAAAGCGGCAAAGAAATAATAAACGCAAAAGAGAAGCAAAAAAACATTTTCAAATGGAAAAAATAATGTGTGTCAAAATGAGCAAGACCAATGGCAGACTGTTGGACAACCGAAGAGGCGAAGAACAGACTTTAATAATGGGACTGTTTCATATTTGACAGGATCAATGACTGTCTGATGGTGAAAAACCATTTGTGCTTGTTGGAACTGTTTCTTGTATTATAGTCAGTTGGAGCAACTGGCAATGACTCAGTAAACTTTTCCTTGGTTAATTTTAGATGTGTTAAAATTTTTGCCATTTCCACCAAGTTACCCATACCATTTGTTTGTAGCTTTAAATAGCACCTGAAACATGACATGCATACTGTAGTCCACATTGCTGCAAAATGCCTTACTACGGATGTAAATATAACACAGATACATGTACATGTACAGGCATAATACAGATAGTGTCCAGTGATAGTGTCTCACACAAATAGTGTACAGCATTATACCCAGGCATTCACCAAGTCAATGTTGAAAATAATAGTTCTGTGTAAATTTTACCCCACCCAGGCCAGCCCATTAAAAGCAGGACACCCATGTCAATAGTTGCACACAGTGTATTAATTATGTTATGGTATGAACTACTTTGCATAATTATATATTTGAACAGCCAGGCTGACCTGGTTCCCAATCTGAAAAAACTTTCTCCCTATAAACACAAACTGGGCTGGCGTGGATGGAAGTTCTAAGAATGCTGCTGTGAGTTATGTAGAAAAACTGTTAAAACACTGTAAACCCACTACACTTGTGCTGTTTATAAAGCATATACAATCACAATAAATTTGTTATTCATATATTTTATAACACTTCATTGAACAATGTTTTACTAAGTCTATACATGACCACCATCATCATTGAAATGCAAACAAAAACATCCCATTTTAATTATTGTTATACATGCTGTACCTTTTCACACTGATATAGAGCATTTGCACATGACGTCACAGCCACCATGTTGGTGTTCCAATTCAAAATAATTTTAATTAGACTCTTGTCTGGAACACCAACATGGCCGCCATGGCTTTTGTTGAGTTGGCCCGTGGGGAATGAGTGCAAACGCTCTATACAACAAGGTCTGAATCTTGAGACACTGCAAAACCGCAGCCTGAAATCAAAGCGCCTGGGGACGAGGCTGGCAAAACCAGCATATCCATTATTCACAATAAATGCAATTTGTGCATCTGCTTCATATGGTGCCATTATGTACTGAATTGAATATCTTTTTCACAGCAAAGCTGAAAGGTGGATAATAACAAATTGTTATTTACTGCACACAACTAGTTTCCAATTTACTCTTTATAATTTTTTATGCATTTGTACATAAAAGGGGTGTCATTTAAAAACAGGAATTTGAATTTTGCAAAACAAATTGATCAAACGTCTGATTAGCAAGGCATTGGCATGGATTATAAATTGTTGTGACATTCCCGTGCACCAATAAAATGTAAATTCTGGGGAGGGGTATAGGCAAGGTGTAAGGATTTGGAATTTTTTAAAAATTTTTTGGGTAAATTCTAGTGAGTGGAAGGCTAGAACAAAGTTCTTGAAAACTAGATAGTATGTGGTTCAATTTAAACCACATCATTTTTCTTACTCTCCATATATTGTTATGCAAGGTGTTTTTCTGCCAGCTGCAAATTGCCATTGCAATGATTTTTTATTACTTAGGCGCTACTGTATTTATATGATCTTGGATACTAGAGACACCCAATCCACCCGAGACAACTTTACTGCACATTTAATCTCTTCCTACGAGAATGGCTCTAAGTACGAGATTGTGACTCCTGTTATTTGTTTGAAGGTCTGGGAATCAGGGAATGAAAAGTTATCCATGGAAGCCGAGACAAACATGTAAACACATGGACAAAAGTTGTCCCTCCTACAAGGGTAACCCTGTTTCGTAAACAGGGTGTCCCTACTGCCAGGGTGACCCTACCAGCCCAGACGAGTTGAAAACTTTCCATATAAACACTTGCGTTTAAATGTTATATAATGAACATAATTTTGCCTCTCCCAGGGTAGCTCGGAGGGTAGAGAGTGTCCCTATTACCCGAGATCATATAAACAGCACCTCAGTCACATTATTATCCCCTACCCCTCAACATCTTTATTCAATGTTGCATAATATTTACAATATTTGTGATCATACCAAAAATTGAATTGGCATGGCATACAAAATATGTGAAGATTATGATTTTCATCCCATAGTTTTTAGGTAAGATTGTGTAGTCAAACTATAGAAATTGTGACCTATGATGGCATTGGAAGTACTAAAATGATGGGCAAATTCTATTAAAGCATAACTAAAATTGCATGGAATTTTACAGTAGCTTGTATATTGTATATGTATTAAATAATATAATATTGCAGAAAAGTTTCCGTGTCTATGCATACTTTTACCGTGTGTCCACAACCCTGAAACATTTGCATAATAATTATAATAACAATACAGTCATAAGAACAATAAAGTAAATAGAATATACATAAGTTTAGCGATTGAAACACTGTACAAACCAATAAGTAAACATATAAATAAATTAAAACAAACATACTTGCGATCATCGCCAAACCTTTGAAACTCACAGCCAACGCTTTGTGCAGTCTGCTAGCAGGATGCATCGACTGCACAAACTTTTCCAGAAGTTATTTGACATGTACTGCCACTGTTGATTCTTTCAAGAAGGGCAAAAGACAATTTTATATACCCATCGCTTGGCCGCGCACAGTGTTTTCACCTCGAACGTCAGAACGCTAATGAGTGAATTTTTTATTTTACTCATGATGCATTGCGGTCGTAGTGCGATCACCGCCTGGCTCAGAGCCGTCAATAGTCTATCATCCGATCCCTGAGTTGCCGCATCATTTAAATTACGCACGTGCAGTCTCCAATTTTATACTAATATATTTAGCGTTTTTGTTGTGGTACGTTAAATGATAGATGCGCATGCGTAACCGATTAAAGCGTAAAAAGTGCGCATGTGCAACAAGCTTTTACATCCCACAACCAATGAAGCAAATGTTTTAGCTTAAATACGCTGATTCCAAGTAGGGCATGTTTGTCCATTTTTAAATGGGAGCGCAACTATGCTATTACAAACTAATAGCTGGAAGACTACGTGCTGCTTGTTGGGACCGTATGACAATGAATCTATCCAACGTTACACTAGATATTTGTGAGGACATGCATGTAATGCATCGTGATAGAACAGATTTCAGTTTAATTAATGGGCCTAAATTAAAATCTCCACAAGCGGAGGTCAATTATTGTGTTCTAGTTTACATATTATCATTAATGATAAGGTTAATTCAAAGAGTGTATAATATTAAACTGGATAAACACGGGAATAGAACTTATGGTGTGTTCTGCACATGCGTATATCTAGGATAAAATCCCACAAGCGCAAACGAAACTATTTCTCTATAAAGTTGAGCTGAAAGGACTCACAGTGACCGTTCTGGCAGTGCTTCAGGCGCCCGATGATATTGTATGAGGGGCCTTTAGCACTGTCATCTTGAGATGTTCACGTTATCGCATGTACTTGGCAGGATGACGCAGGATTGCGAATAACGTCTGTGTGCACTGATGCACGCTGCATTATTTTTAATAATGCTGTGTGCACGCTGCATTATTTTTAACAAGACGCCTGCTCAGGCGTTCACACTTCCCGCAAAAATGAGTACATGCGTGCTATGTCTGTGATGTAATATAGAAAAGGGAGTGGGGATGCAGGAGAGCTGGTACCTGTAGAACCCCTACTTTCAGATGACTGTGTGGAACAGTTTCGAGTCATACCCTCGGTCATACCTTGGTTTTATTAAAATATGTCAGGGATCACATCAGCAAGATTAGATAGAGATCTGCTACTGAGATACTATTAAAGCCGAAGGCAATGACCCAAATTCACGCATACATTGCAGATACTGTAGCTTCAAAGCAAAAGTTAAATCGGTAACTTTTAATTATAAATACTTAAAGTACAATCTGTCAGATATTTTAAACAAGACGCTTGCCCAGGCGTTCACACTGGCCTCAACACAGCGCTGTAACATTGATGCACGCTATAAAGCCTCAGGTCTCAGGAAAACAAAGGGTAGTGGTACTCTAGTTGGTTAACAGCATACATCTAAGACAGTAAAAGGCATTCATGAGACAATTTTGATGATAAATTAAAATGAACCTTGTCCTTTAGTATAAACACAGTTAATAGAACTAAGTTCTATTGACTTTGGTATAAGTACTTCACTATATCCAATAGCATAAAATGACTAAAATAGCAATAACTCGTGCTCCTAGCATAAATTAGGTGCGATTCTAAGGCTTTGGCAGAATTGTATTGCTGTGTCATGACACAGCCGCTTTGAGGGAGGCCCAGGAAATAGGGGGCAATTTGCCTTTATATTTCTTTACATGTATGTCAAATATAAAAGTAACTTTCATAACAAAATAGTAACTTTCATCACTTAAAGTTAAACATTTATTTTTTCATCTTGATATTTACAAACAAAAAAAGTAAAACAAAAGGTTGGCTTATTTCAAAGAGAAGTGATTGAAAATATGCAACATGATCTTGCCCAAAACTGTGTCTAAAAAAATAAAAAAATATGATTCAGAGGCGACAGCTACTGTACCTTGATCTAGTACCAGCTACTATACCGTCAATTGCAATTAAGGATGAACAACGTTGATAAAAACATTGTCTATTCTCACATGAAACTTCAATGTTTGTCAAGAGTACTTGATAGATTTAATCTGATCAGCCATCACTTTTAACTTGGAACCCTCACGTTGATTGGCCAGGCTAATTGAAACCTTCAAATGCTTTTTACAAACATCAGCACCATTCACCCTTATAGTTGCAATCAATTGGATCTACGGCAGAATCTCGACATAGATATTGAAGTCAAAGTCAACATCAGTCACATGACAACATCAATCACATCATAAAATGAGTTACATCATATCAGTCACATGACAACATCAGTCACATCACAGCATCAATCACATCATAACATTCAAAAAGGGGTTTATATGAGGGCGAGCCAAGATCTTACAGTGCGTCTACTATAAGTGGGACCACTTTGACAAAGCAAGCCAATAAAGTGCAAGAACAAAGTCTTGCAGTTCTGATGCATATATGGGCTTGTTATGTCCTGCTTCTCTAATTTAATTGGCTAATCATGCTTTTTAGTTCAGGGGTGATTTATACTTAGGGGCCATATTCATGTTGCCACGCATAACGTTGAATCAATGTTATTGTTTGTACCCACCCACCCACCTCAGAATCAAAATAAAACATGCACAATTTTTTTTGGCGCCAAAACAACGCCGTATACAACCATGTTAACTGAGATCGTGACATTGTCGACATCCCGTAAGAATTTAAAGGTGCTCTACAGTCCGATCTGCGCATGTGCACAAAGGAGCCCACTTTTTATGATACAAACAGTTTAACTATGTTTTGGGTTCTTGAAAAGCCTGATTGATGTTTCTTGATCATTTATTATACTCTAGAAGCTTGAAAATATAAATAGTTGTCGAATAAAGCTTAATATTTTGGACACAAAAATGTAAACAAAGGCTTTGTTTACATGCGGACTGTAGGGCACCTTTAAGTTTTTTTTCATCTGTATATTTATTATATTAATATTATAAACTTAAATGTGAAAATTTATAATAGAAAGGTTTTTCTGTAATAATATTAAGAACAATAGTCAAATTGCGACAAGATAACCTCAAGGATTTGACGTTTAACCCACCCACTCATAACATTGATTCGACGTTATGTGTGGCAACATGAGTATAGATGTGGCCCCTTATGGTATACGAACTGTGACTGTAATAACCAGGCTGATACATAACAATAGTCATTTGAAAACCTGAAAAGCCTGGGACTAGGCAGGGATTTTAATATTTCACAAGTGTTAAAGTTCAGGTTAATTAAAAATGTTGTTCAGTTGTGAAATTTAAATTATATATATTATCTTAAGACCTAAACTCAGTAAAACCGAGTTAAATCCCAGTTATTATACCCGGTATATGCCCTGGGACTCGGGAAGCCGGGATTTCATGAAGTGAGAAGTATTGAAGTATAAATAATTAAATATTAAGTTTCTCGTTTGTTTATAAACCTCGTGTTTAATAAACTGTACATGTCATTAAAACTTGAATAAAATGAATTTCTAATGAATAATTGTTTTAGTTTAGATGGAAATTAGACCTAAAATTGATTAAAATCTCATTTTGCAGCTCAGGAAAGATTTTCGTGACAACATTCAAGGTCATTTTTGATATTCAAATCAATCGGCAACTGTGACTTTGGTACGCTTTAATAATTCACAAGTTACAACATAAAATTGACTTAACAGTGAGTAAAGGTTTGTAGAACATACCTATCCAACACACGATGTGTGGTAGGGATCTTTTCCAGCAATAAAAGTGCCATAAATCCATGGAAAGTTTCATGCAAAAATACAAAATTAAAAAAAGCGTCGTGGGATATATATTTTTAGACATAGATGTCCTAAGTTATCCCATGGTTAACTGAAAGAAACATATGTAATCCATAGATGCACATACTGAGAAAACATATGTTATCCATAGAAATCCATAGATGCACATAATTTTTGAGCCTGCGATGCGCTGATGGAAACTCCATTTCTCGACGACGAAAACGACAAACACGACAGAAAACTGGTGATTTATGACACTTGCCC